ACATGTCTTTTTGGATTATAAGGGGTACTAGATGATGTCCCTTGTATCTTCCTGCTCTTTATACCAACTTCAATTATTTCACCAATAGTCACCAAATATGAAAATCTGGAAGAAACACTCCCTACCATCTTATCATAGTGCAATCCTTGTAAAGTTCCCATGAACATGTTGACTAATTATTTCTCAAAGAGTGGTGGTTGTACACGGGCTTCCATTTCTCTCCATCTTTGAGCATACTCCTTGAAAGACTCCTCCTTGTTCTGAGACACGTTTTGGAGTTGCATACAGTTAGGTGCCATGTCCAAGTTGTACTCATATTATCTCAAGAAAGCATTGGCAAGATATGCTCATGTCTGGATTTGAACCCACTCCAATTGCATGTACCAATCTAAGGATGCCCACTCAAACTATCTTAGAAGCAATGGATCATTAGCTTTTAGTCATGAGCATATGCATGTATATTTCTGCAATACACGCGTAGATGGTGCCTCAGACATGTGAGTCCATTATATTTTTCAAAGTCAGGTACTTTGAATTTTGAAGGGATCACCACATCAAGAACTAGACCCATTTCGATAGCGTCGACATCGAAAGCATCGTAACCCTCCATAACCTTTAACCTTTCTTCAAGAGCTTTGTAATGGTTGAATGCTAAGCGATTTTCAGCGACATGGGCGTGGGTTGTTCTTTGAGGTGCTTGATTGACATCTCCTAACTCATGGTCTCCATATTGTAGGTCTATGTAGTTGTCTGTGTTGTTGAACGGAATATGCAAGGTATGCGATGCTCCTACCTTCGGTGGAGGCAGGACAATCCCTTCAGTATCAGCTTTTCTGACCTCTTGTTGAGCAAGAGTTGACTTTTGAGGTCCTGATTCTGGTTTTCTTCTTGGTTGATGACCACTCGATGCACCAATAATATGGGTTACTTCTTCAAAGGCTACCCTAGGAATATGTTCTTTCCTCTCGATGATGTTCTTCAAGGCTATAAGAACTTGGCTCATATCTTCCTTCATCGAGTCGATGTTGCCTTTCACTTTCTCTAAATCTTCCCCGAATGCGGCTTGGTTCTCTTTGATCTATTCCATCACTTTCTTTTGACGGGCCCTCGTTTGATATGGCGGTCGGAGAGGTGGTGCTTTTCTACCAATGTTTTAACTGGATATGATTTTGAAAATTAATGAGTTTTTTTTTTTTGTAATGAAATGTGGAATAATGCGATGTTTGCGAATGCATGGATGCGTATAAATATGCTAAGAGTTTTTCTTATTTTTTTGAATGTCTAATTCACTTGGATATTTATTTTTCTTTTTTTATGTATTTATATTTTTCAGGTTTTGCTTTTTATTGGTGAGCATCTAAAAATTAATACACAATCGAGATATAGAAACAAAATACTTTTATTGAAGTAACAATTGTCTTTTAAAAAAGAGAATACAATTCAGATATTGAAAAATATTTAAACCAAAACATCAAAACTTGCTGAAAGAAGTAATAAAGGGAAACAAAATCTTCTAAGCGCGACTGTGTATTTTTGCTCTGAAGCCAACAACCATAGTCCAGCAAAGCTTGAGGAAGTCTTCAACGTATTTTGGAAGAGGGACCTCACACTTTCTGCATCTCTAAAACTTCTAGGGATGTCCTCAATGATATTGTTGGCTCGGAAGGCGAGTGTTGCATGCTTGTCTTTATAGAACTAATATTCTTGGTAGAGGTCCAAAATTATCTTGTGCTTATCCTCTCCTACTTTGGAGATCTTTGCACACTGCTCTTCCCAATATAATTTTGTATCCCTCATCTTCGTATAGAGTCTCCTTTGTATAAGGAAATTCTTTCGTAGGTTTTATAACTCATGACACACTTGCTCGTATTCATCAGCCTTTTGGGCGAGAAGTCTTTCTGCCTTTTCAGACAGTTTCCCTTTGATATTCTTGATCTTTGTCACATCTGGCTTGATGACATTAACAAGGACAAGTTTTTTCCCTCTGGCATTCATTTTTAAGACACTTCATCAAAAATCTTTGATTATTTTTTTTATCTTGTGAATAAGACACACAAAAAATAATGGAGGATAATGAATATGTAAAATGCAAGATGTATGGATGCATGATTGTGTGGCATAGTAACGAGATTTTATTTAAGGTATCCTTAGTTGGTAGACTCATAGTTTTGGCCTACGAATATTCTACCCTACTCATGAGGTGGTTTCCTTAAGGGTATCATGAATAACACTAAAGGGAAAGGCACAAGGGTGTCCCTTAAGTAAAGCCTCATTACAGACCAAAACTTTCATTTCTAAGGTCGTGAAAGCTCTCACCATTATTTTTTAATTTAGGGTTTATACAAAAATTCATAGGCTTCATTCCAAAGTCCTACCCTCCAAGAGGATATCTCTTGAGACATATTTCTTTTTTGGAATTCCACCGACTCTAGGAGAAGTCATCACAAAAACTCATAGGGATGATGTATCCTCTGTCATACCCCAAATTTGTCCTACCTTTTTACTTTTATCTGGCTTAGGCTTTGCATTTCATTTGCATCATTTTTATTAGGTCATTCACATATCATCCCTTCATTCAATAAGGAATGAGATCAAGAAGTAGTGTTTGGTACGAATTAGGGTTTTACTTTGCTTTGGGCTTCTTTATCAAATAAAGGGTTTTGTCCCTCTATCATCAGGGGACCATTTCTTCATAAATTGGGTTTGCGTTCACTTGAGATCTTCCATCAACTACTTGTGCTACAAGTTATTCAACTGGAATTCTTATCAAGGGTTGGACTAGAGAAAATAAGATTTTTCTATGGTTCATGGGTCATGATACACTTTCTTATAATTGTATTCATCGATTTCGATTAGGGCTTTGACCAAGATCATCACTTAATACGCATCATGGCTTAGGTTTTCTTGTGATAAGAGCCTTCCTCTAGTTGCCTGAGTTATAAAACATTAGTTAAGATAAGAGACATGAATTCATGGATACTTTCTCCAATCAACCTTGGTTTGAGATACAAGGTTTGGGAACAATTGCTTATGGTATAAATTATGCTTTTTAACTTCACACGACAGGTTAAATTCAAGTTTGGCAATTAATGTTCATTTTAGTCGGGTGTGGCTTACAAGTTTGTTTTAAATACAATTTCCTATAAAATCGTGAGATGATATACAAATGTTGAATTCAAATCTTGGAAAGCTAATTGGAAAGTAAAGGAAATATGGAATTCTTGAATTTTGAAAGTCTCATCATTCCATTCAAGCTTGTTACAAAAGAGTTCATCTATTAACTTTATTCAAGTATCAAGCAATTCCATTCATATTACAACTCATTGTTCATATTACAAGGATTTTAAGTCATGGTTCATTCATATTACAAAAAATATTCAAGGCATCATTTTGTAGATTGAAACAAAAGGAAAAGATGAGAGAAACATGTTAAATTTACAAGGTTTATCCAATGTTTTTCAAATGAAACATCTACGATTCAATTAGATTCAAATATATCCAATCGTTCTTTATGTTCTACATGAGATATTGGGAATAACATTAAAAAATTCTAAATCCCTAAAAGTAATACAATGATATGCCATAAATCTCCATGAAATGTCAACTTGGTTCCTTGCCAATTGTTGTCCATTCTGCTGTTGTGCACAAGACATGCCATTGCTGTCACATACAACCAAAACTAGTCCAAATGCTCAGCTTTCCAAATAGTCCTATTCTTCCCACAACAATCCAAGACTAGCCCTGCATCAACATGCTGCAAAACAGTCCAAAAACATGTCAAAAACTTTTTGCCGATAAACAAACAAAATCAGTCATGTACAGACTTGTTAAACTAGTCCAAAGATTACACTAGAATGAGCAACATAAAGACTACATTAAAAGGCCACAAGATAGTTAACCAAAAGTGTTCAAATTCATCCCATTTTACCCTAAAATACCCATCAATATTCCTATATAACAAGCCTTATACACACCATGAAAGGGGAGGAAAAAGAAAGTATTAGAATTCCTGCAGAAAATTTGATACTTCCTCCACAAAATTGTTTCAAGTCACCTCGCCTCAAAACTTGCATAATTCAGCTTCATCAACTTCCAAATACTCCAAACCTATCTTTGTTTTCTCTGTGCTTTATCACTCTTTACTTTCAAACTAAGCTCTCATTCACCACCATTCTTCAAACATACGACAACCCTATCAAACCTCTAAAACTACACCAAAAAAACACGTTGAAACCTGCCCAAGCTCTACTAAAATTCACCTTCATCAACCTCTACAGCCTTACACTCATCATCCTCAATTCCTCATAACCATAATCTATACTCAAAACAACACCCTGCAATACCACCTTTAACATCTCAAAATCTTAGCACCTTCAGAACCATAACCTTACAATACCATTCAACTTTGCATCCCTAACATCAACTTACCTCTCCTACGCCCTCTGAAACCTCTCATTGTATAAAAAAACTTCACTCACTAAATCTCTCTACTTAAACCTTCAACATACTTCATTCAACCTGCAAAACCATACTTCACCTTTAATACCCCCCTTGAACCTCCCAAAACCACCCCTGCTAAACCTTCGTACAAAAACAACCGAGACAGGTGTGCCACACTTATCTCTTTGATAACCTGTAGCAAAGCTTTACTCAAGTTACCAACTCAACACACATGAATCCACAGCCCTCCATACTTCATTCAGTCACACGCATACACATCAAAATAGACCCTATCTTCACAACTTCATCTCAAAATCGTAACTCTTCTACGGGCATCAGTAGTACACACTCAAAACGCAATACTCGAAAAAACAACAACACAACATCGCAACATAAAAAAAAGCATAAAAAATAAGAGGAAGAAGAAAGAAGAAGATTGGGACAAAGGTTCATACCAGACTCGGATTGTTTTTGGATTTCTCATCGTCAGATTTGGAGCACCGGACTCATCGCCGGTAGGTAGACACCCTTCAATCTATTCTTTAAGCGTGTGATATGTGTTATTGTTTTTGTTTGGAATCCCGAAATAATGAACTTCGAAGTGAGACATAGCTTCGAAACAGAAGTGCGTCGAAGAAGAGTGATTGGAGGACACGATGGTCGGATCGGTGGTGTTCGAAAAACTTACAGTGGTTTGAGGCGCAGAGAAGAAAAGGGGAAGGATTTACAGACGAAAGAAGAGGAGGTTGTGAATCTGTTAAAGGCATGAGAAATCCTAATTTTGAACCCTAAGAAGACAAATGAAGTGTTCAATTGTTTTCTTCAAATTTCATTTAATTCTTTTTTAGTTAATATAATCAGAGTTATTGAAAATCTGAATTGGAGATGGCAATGCAAGCTGGACTAGAGCGCCTGGGCCTTGATGCACCTTCGTAACTTCCTTGTAAGCACAATATTTGTTTTTATTTTTATTTTAGTCTAGCTGATTTTTGTTTATGTAACTATGGGACAGTCTGTTTTGTTTCATCCATTTGTTTTGTTTCATCCATCTGTTTTGTTTCATCCATAAGCCCAGCAAATTTTTATCTTCTCATCACCACTTTCTGTTTTATACCCCCACTCTAATTAAAGTTTTGTTTTATTTCTTTTACTAATTTATTTAGTTTTTCTTATCAATTTAGTTTAGTTATTAAATTCAATTATATAATCATGTTTTTTCTTTTGGTTAATTAGATAATTTCTATTATTAATTAGTTTAGTTTTTGAATTAATTTAGGGCTCGTTGTGAATTTACTCTAATATTTGTTTTAGTTTAGCTAATCACTTTTGCTATTATGCTTAATCACATTTCTTCACCTAGTGAATATCACACAAAAATATTTGCTTCGTATTTCTGTTACTTTTGTTTGGTTTGATTGCTTGGTTAAATCTTGATAACATATTCCCTTAGGAACTCTATTAAATGATTAAACTTTGTTTTGATTGTTTTAACGTTGAATTAGAATTTAGGATCAATCCCTGCATGATAATTAATTAGGTTAAAACTTTCCTTTCAAACACTCCACATTAGGTCCATCATTGTACATGACAACATTAGGGTAGACTTCCACCTTAGACTTTTCTTTTGTATTGCGTATTTCCTAATTAAAACTAAAACTTCTATCCTTTATCGAAAAAAATCCAAAAACACTTAATCATTATTCAACTTATTCCACACTTAACAAAAACACTCAACAAGTCAAAGATTTCTTCAAAAGGGCATGTTATCTTCGCTCTACCGCGATACATGCCGTGCATATTGCTATAATGCGTACGCTAACATTGCCCACTAAAAAACACCAACAAACCAACATTTTATAGAAGAACTATGGTGTTCTAATTCCTTCTCGAAATACATAGGAAAGGGTTGCGAGACCATCACGAACGCACTAATAAAAACCATTTCATTTCCCTTAGCAAGTATAGTTTTAGATAGACGCACCCTTAGAAACAAACAATCAAAATGGATCCCGTTGAGTACAACGGATGTGAAGGGTGCTAATACATTCCCCTCGCATAATCGACTTCCGTACCTTTTCTTTGATTGTAAGACCATCTTATCCATCCTCTTGGGGTTTTATTAATATTTCCCCTTCCTTCGTGATAAATAAAGTTCGATGGCGGCTCTGTATTTTTTGTCGGTTGCTTTAGCTGGAGACTCTGATGGGGACCCTATGCGAGTCAATCCTTGTTTTGTTTGTTTGCTTCTTTGGGTTTTTATTTATTTACTTTATTTGATTTACCACTTTATTTATTTATTTCTTTATTGCTTTCTTTTGTATATATTGCATTGTACTTTTGCTAGTCACCTATTTTGGATATGTTGTGTCTTTTGTGATGTTGGGGTGGGTGATTTCATTTGATAAGTCTTATACCCGAACTTGGGGCAAACTTAAGATTAGGATGGACGGTATAGCCATGTTAACTTACATGAAGTAATCCGGAAAAAGGAGACATGAGATCCCCCACTCAATGGAGGCCCCTTTGATTCTAGTATTTGTTTACCGAGTAATCGAGAACACATTGTTGCTTTCGACCTGGGAGCCTACGAAGCTCAAAGGCCATAGAACCCTTAACCCAACCTGACCTTTTTAGATATAGTGCGAAGGCTATGACGGAGTAATCCAGAAGTAGTTCTCACACGATGTTGCACTCAGAAGAGTTTTTCCTATGAATATTACTAATTACCGAGTAATTGGGACGTTGGTAATATCCAAAGGAACAACGTAGACACTAGGATTTCCCTAGAACCTTGTTCTGAAGGTGATAAACCCTTAGTACGTACCTTATGGGTTGTTACCTTGACTCCATGCTCGTGACGTCGGACCTTTGATCCTGTTACTTTTAGTTTATGCAAAGGACTATACAGTGGTTATCCAGAATATGTGGAGCTGAGATCCCATTCCATAGCATACCTGAAGCCACCGGCAGAAAACACAGAGCCGCCACTGAACTTTGTTTATCCCGAAGGAAGGGGAAATATCGATAAAACCATAAGGGAATGGATAAGATGGTCTTGCGACCAAGAGAAAGGGTAAGGGAGTCGATTATGCGAGGGGAAGGTATTAGCACCCCTCGCATCCGTTGTACTCAACGAGATCCATTTTGTTTGCTTGTCTTAAAGGGTGTATTTATCTACAACCAGGCTTTCTTAAAGGGAAATTGATGGTTTTTTATTATTGCGTTCGTGAGGGTTTCGTGACCCTTTTCCTACGTATCCAATGAAGGAATCAGAACACCGTAGTTCCTCTAGAAAATGATTTATTTGTTTGTGTTTTTTAGTGGGCGATGTTAACGCACGCATTCTAGCAATAGGCACGGCCGGTATCGCGGTAGAACGGAGATAACATGTCCTTGGGGAAGTTTTGCTTGGTTGAGTGTTCTTTTTGCGAGTTTTAAAATAAATTTAAGTAATAATTAAAAGAGCGTTTTTGGATTTTTGATTTGTGAATGTTAAGTTTTAATTACAAAAGAAGAAAAGGTTAGGGGGGGGGGGGGGGTTAACACCTATTTGTTTGTTATGTACAGGTGAGCTAAAAGTCTATTTCAACATAAGGCGATCGAACGGGTTTTAATCGCCTCACGGAGGTACCTAAGGGAATAGGACACCGAAGTTGAGCGAGCAAATAAAGAAACTAAGACCCTAAATATTTTTTGTCTTAAGAAAATAGTACTATAATATTTTTACAACTTATTGTGAAATGAGTATCGAAACCTAATTTTAACTTATTTTGAGTATTTTATTAAGTTAAATAAAACAAATTGAATTAAAGAAAATTAAACATAAGATTAAGTAAATAACAAAATGAATGATTAATTACAACAAACATGTTTTTGTATTTTTCTCATGCAATAACTATGTAAAGAAAAGAAATTAAATAAATATATATATTTTTTAGAAGTATATGGTAAGATACATAAAGATAAAGCCTAAAGAAACTAAAAAAAATGGAAAATGCCCCAGTAGGGGTTGAACCCGGGTCCCCAAGGTTTATGGTTAGGTGCTTTCCCAGTTGAACTATGCTGTTTATTCGTTATAACAATGGTTTAATTTAAACATAAAGGGGAAACGGTAAGGGGATTGGGCCAGCAGCCCAATGGGCTGACCCGGTTTGGATAAGGGGAAGGGAAGGTTTTGAAAACCCTAAAGAAACAAGGAGGGTACGGCGGCGTGGTTAATGAGAAGAGGAAAATCATTGATTTTTTTGTTAATTCCCAATTATGCCAATCAGTTAAAACAAAGACAGAACCTCTCTCTCTCTCTCCTCTAATCATTCTTGGTTTCTTCTCCCATCATCTCTCTCTCATCGCTTCTTCACTCACACAATCTTCTCAAACCCTCTTTCTCTTTTCTGATTTAACCGCTCAGCCTCCCTCTCTCAGACGCTGTTCTTACTGCTCTTTATTCTACGATTCATTTCAAGCTCAACACAAACAACTTCAGAGAATTTTGTCACAAACAAATTCAGAGAGTTTTAACGCAGAGAAAAGTGCAGATATGAAAAAAAGGAAAAAAAGATTTCGAAGCTTACTTGATCGGAGACGCTTCGATGGCGATTCGACTATCTTAAGAACACGAACAACTTCGGTTCGGGTAATTTCCCTTTTTTCCTTAAATTTCTCTTCTTATACTTCTGAAATTCTTTTATTTCTGGAAATTGATGATACTTGTTGAAGATGCATATTTCATTGGATCTTTGTTTGCAGATATTGTTGGGCTTCAGTAACTGCAGATTGATGAAATAGAACTCGCAGATGGAAGTTTTGGAGGATTGTGTGAATGTTGAGATTGGTTTGATGCAGTACGTTTTTTTTTTGTTTACTTCTTTGGCTGATGCGGTTTTTTCTGGTTTGCAGTCTTGGTTTTTTTTACTGGTTTTTGGGTTGACAGTTTGAGGTTTTTGCTGGTTTTTGTGTTGACAGTTTATGGTTTTTTGCTAGCTCTTGCTTTTACAGTTTGTGGTTTTTTTAAAGAAAAATCCCCTTTGCTGTGTTTTAAGTTGTGTGTCCAGGCCTCCCTCAATGAAAAAGTGGTGTGTTTCTTTATAGTGCAACAGGGGTGGAAATCAGGGGGGGGGGGATTTGGGGAATTTTGAACATTGTTGGTATGCTGCCTTGGTGCTTTTTGGATGCAGGTTTTTATTTCTAGTCATTTTGGTGTTTGTGGGCAGTTTTCTTGGACTGTTTGACTTGTTTCTGTAGCATAGCTGTAGCAGAAATTTTGGACTGGTTTGGGCTGAATTGCAGCAGGTTATATCTTTCCTCTTTCATCTTTCTGTGATATAAAGCTTTTATGCTTTTTTCTTTGAAAATTCAGAATGGTTTGCACATTTGGAACATGATGACATAGGGCATTTGGCTGCTTGTTAGCCTTTTATATTACTTGTTTGGTTTCATGCTGCTGATTGTTTATGTTGCTTGTTGTTTTGAGGCGTTGCATGTTGCTATTGCCTAGGCAGCCTGCTGCCTTGTTTTGTAACTTGGTTGTTTTTATATTTTTCTTGCTGCTATGACAGTGTTGTTTGCTGTAGCATTGTTGGCCTACTGTTGTTATTTTTGAGTTGTTCAGCCATGCTTGTTTTTCTACTTACTTGCTGGCTTGCTTATGTTGTTTTGCGCACTGCCTGTTACTTTGTTTTATCAACAGGAAACATTTGCAATTTTTTCTTTTTCTCCTTTTTGTGAACCAAAGAGAACAACTCTTTTTGTGATTTGCAATTGGGAGAAA